GTATTCCTTAGAATTTTGGCAATGAAGGCCAATTGTGGGAACTTGTATTCCTTAGAATTCCAGCAATGAAGGCCGGTAGTCGGAAAGTGTATTCCCCAGAATTCCAGCAATGAAGGCCGATGATGGGAACTTTGTATTCCTCATATTTTCGGCTATGAAGGCCTGTTTTACCTCTCTAGACTGTACTACCTGGAAGATGACATTTTTGTGTCAAATGAAGACCGACTATCTATTTGATCTTGGATAGCAATGAAGACTTCCAAAATTAAGATTTCTTCAATCTTTAGTTATGGAAATAAAGGACTTTTTTTTTAAAATAACCTCTCGGTTTAGTAAATTGAACCGAACTGAACCGAGCTTTAAAGGACTTGGATCGAGAGAAGCTAGGGTATGAAGCCTTTCTTTCGCACGTGTGAGTCGGACGTGCTTCAATTCTTTGAAAGCTTCGTTTGCCTCCATCTATGGCTTCGTTGCTTCGTAGGCGTTGTAGGCACACGTCGCTTCTTCGGCTCCTTAGTGGCTATCCGATTACGCTCCTTCGACGTCGTTGTTGTTCTGCTTTGGGTGCGTCGCAGGAGGTGCTTCTTTGGCTCCTTCGTGGCTGTTTGACTATGGTCCTTCGATGACTGCTCCCTTCTGTCGGATCGGAAGTTATGATGCTTGGATTCGTTCCTTCGTGGCTGTTCGACCGTTCGCTGGTAGTGCGAGAGTCGGATGGAGCTTCGTAGCCCTGCTCCTGTTCCGCCTGGTGCTGCCTCCTTCTAGTGCTGATTCCGCCTGGATGTTCGACTCTGCCTGGTGCTGACTCCGCTTGCTTGTGTTCGTCCGAGTCGGAGGCAGTGTCGGCGGTGTCTAGCAGCTCCGATTTCTTCTTCTTTTTCTTTTCCTCATCCGACGATTCTACGATCGTTCTTCAATCGACAATTAAGGCCGTTGGTTCTGATATCACGTTAGAATTCATAGAATTTTAGAGGGAAAAATATGCTTCTTATTATTATACAAAATTATTCATATTTATAGAACTATACATGATGTCTTAATAAAGAAACAAATAACTCCTAATTGATACATAATTGCCTCAATATAATCCTTCCTAATTCAGCTACCCAATATGTAGAAGGAGATTTGCATTATCCAGGCGAGCCTCCCACGGATTCTCATCCTGACCATGGGATCAACTGTCAAGGGATGACTGAGATTTTGACAAATAATAATATATAATAAAACAAATTATAAACTTAACGAGAATGTGTTGTCTCAAAATGCCTTGAGGCGTATGCCTCATTTTAAAAAGCGTAAGCCTTATTGATGTGAAACCAGGAATTGTTTCTTGGAAGTTAATAGAAGGTTGTTTAAAGTGATGATAATACAATTCAATGCTTCTCTAATTTAACGATTCAATAAAGATCTTAGAAGTTAACAATGTCTAGGCAAGTAGCTCCAACTAAGTTTGCAAGATTTTAAAATAACAACATCAATAGCAAGTAATGAAAATGAATGGCCAACTAGAATCCGACGGTTAACAAAGCAATCGTCTCACCTTGAGGCCACGCTCATGCTCCTACTTCTAGGTTCGTTGGAGGAAGAACAACCACACAAGTGACGAGACCACTCCGAGGGCGACGGTGCCATAGATCCGTAGGGAAGGAGAGGAAGGCGCCGGATGCGAAGGTGACGCGGGACTACGTCCTTTGATGATCCACGTGTAGACGGAGAAGTAGTCGTCGATGGATTCCACTAGTGTTGGTAGAATCCGATCCAGGTATTCTTCGACGGTGTCGTCGAAGTCAAAACCGACGTCGAAGAACGGCGATCTGAGGATATTAACTCTTCCTTGATTGTCGTACTCAAACCCGAAGTTCCACTCGGGTTCCTCCATACATCATTGAGAGGAGAATGAAAGGTTGCCACGAAGAATTCTCCAAAGGGAAGAGGGTGGTCGGCGGATTGTAGAGAGGAGGGGAGGCTGACGGTGGGATTAGGGTGAGGGGAGAAGTAAATTTTAGAAAAACTGAATTAGATTTCAGTTTTAGGGATTTTGGGGGGAAATAACAATGAAATTTGAAATTCCAATTAAATGCAATTAAAGCATTAATTGAAAAAATTTCGGGTGAGGCCAATGGGGAGCCGGCGGTGGGGAGAGAAGGGAGCAATTTAAAACTGAAGTTATTTTCAGTTTTAATAAGATCGGAGGGAAAATTATTTGCATTCAGTTTAAGATTTTAAATCACATGAGGGGATTGAGCACCTACTTAATTAGGGAGCTTGATAGGGGGGGCCGGCGGTATAGCTGGAGAGAGGAGGGCTTGGAGAGAGAGGGAGATTGTTTTCCAACCATGACATGATGATTAGGATAAGTTTTAAAGAAATCCAAATTGATTTTATTTTCTATTTGGATTCATTTACAAACTTTCCAAATATGGACTTTCCAATTTTGGGAAGAATTTGAAATTTGAATTTCAAATTTCAAACCGACATGAGCGGAGATGAGGTGGGTGGAAAGATGGCCGGTGGCGAGGTGGTTGGTTGTGGTGGGGAGGGTGGCCGGCGGCGGGAAATCCAAGGAAGGGGGCGGCGGCTAGGGTTAGGGGAAGGGAATTTTGGTGGAGCTTTCTTGTGAGAAGGGAAGGGGATTAAAAAAAAAAAAAATAGAGAACTCACCAAGAGATCTTTCATGCACTCACAAAGAGAACAAAGGAAGAAACTTTCATTCATTAAGCAATAGTCTCAAATACAATGATAAAGCCATTATATAGGCTAACTGGAAATAAAAATACATAAAGACAACAACGCCTTTGGGCTACAATAAGCACTAATTCCCTCATAGGTGTACAAAAGGAAAACACAAAATAGAAATGACATGAATAAAAATAAAACATCAAAAATAAAGACTCTGAATCATGACCGTCGATCGGCGTCTCCGGCGATGGTACACGTGTCGAAATCTGATGTCCCCATCACTTATGGGCACTTGTGAGTAAGGGTGTAAACGAGTCGAGTCAAGTATTTGCTTAATTGAGCTAAGATTGTTTAGTTCTTGGTGAGCTCGAGCTCGACTCGAGCTTGAGCTTGACTCGATTGCTAAGCTTGATTTCTTAGTTTTAAATTAAAAATTTTAATTTTTAAAGATTTTTAATTTTTAATAAGAATTAATTTAAAAATATCAAAATATTTATATAATGCTAATTTAAATTAATTTTTAAATATATTTTAAGTTAATTGAGCGGTTCAACGAGCTTTTGAGTCAAGCCAAGTCGAGCTCGAGCTCGATTAACATACGAGCTCGAGTATAGACTCGATAATCTCGACTTGTGAGCTCGTTAACGAGTCAAGTTCTAGCCGGCTCGCGAGTTGGCTTGACTCACTTGTACCCCTATTAGTGAGGCTGAAGCCTCAAGGTGCTCATTGTGCGCCTCACTTCGAGGCGTGCGCCTTGAACTATTTTTTAAACCACGATGGTAAGTAATTCTAAGTAGGTTTGAATAAAAAACTTGTTAATATTTTTCCCCTTCTAAAAAATTATACTTGATCTTTCAACAAGGACAGTAGAAAGAGCCACGGGAGAAAAGGAGGCCTTAGGTAGAATATGAGGGTAGATAGGTCTCGTGAAAGGAGGCCCTAGGAACCAATGAAAAAAAGGTAGAACGGTAAATGGAATAAGTCAAGTTTTTTAGATGTTTTTCGAAAATATTTAACCTAAATGATATTGGAACAAGACTAACTTGAAACAATGTCTTACATCTGGTGGGTTATGGATAATAATGATTTTCAGATAAATTTATATGCTTACATATGCATGTTAAATATTTCATAGAAGCTAGGCACTTAAGCGGATGTACGCAACGATTGTTGCACTTTATGCTAAATTTAATGGAATATAGTTTCCATATATTTCCTATATTTTAGATTAAATCATAGGATTTGACATCCCTTTAGAAGTTTGTTAGAATAAAATCCAATGGACATGAGGAAAAAAAATAAAATAAATATATATATATACACTTCCGAGACATGTACGCTCACATATGCATGTTATATATTTATGTACCTGATCAGTACAAGTGATAATTCCGAGACGGGTGTTATATATATATATATATATATATATTGGGATAGACTACTGTTCTTTTAGAAGAATATAGTCCTTACACATTATATTATCGATCACCTCGTCAACATATTTGAATGATTAAGATTTAAAGTAGCTGAAAACTACTTTTAACATTCCCAATGTTCTTTAGCTACTTTAAATCTTAACCATTAATTTTTTTATGGATGGTGTAAGCTGTGCAAGGAGAGTAGACTATAGCTTCCTAAAAGGATTATATATGTATTGGAAGAGAGAGAGAGAGAGAGAGAGAGAGAGAGGTGGAGAGTTTTTTTTTTCTTTTTACGTTATCAACGTTTTTTAGTCACTTCAGATTTTGGTCATCCAAAATTTATGAGTAATAATTAAAGTTGTTTGAGGATAAGTGACTCTCTTTTTAAATGAATGGTAATCTTGCTCACATATATATATATATATATAAAACTAACAATTTAGTGTTTTTAATAAGTTATGCATCATAGACAGTGAAATTTATTATTGATTTATAATGTATTTGAGTCCTTACGAAATTTAGTGAATTGGATATTTGGATGTAGGAAGTTGATGTAAAGTCGCAAACTGAATATTTTACTTTAATAGACTGGTTCATCCAACTCGAATGACAGGATTCCTGATTAATGCCAAGATTATGAATCATTTATAACAAGACTAAGGCTTCGTTTGGGACAGCTTTTTTACCACTTTTTAAAACAGTTTTTTAGTACAAAAATTTCTAGTTAATTTTTTTTTTTACTATAAAGCTACTTTAAAAAAAATAGAAAGACAGTTGTCCCAAACAAAACCTAAATAAGATATCAGTTTGACTGTGTCATTGCTTGAGTATCTTACTTCCCGTTTTCTGTTTTTCTTTTCCTTATGATCTATGATCTTTCTTGTTCTTTCTATTCCACAGGCCATCATGGATTCTAGATTTGCTCCTTAGAGATATAGTTTATAATTTTCTCAATCTCTGGATTGCCGATATGAAATTTTTGGAATTTACTACTTTGGACAGGTGATTTTTAAGTTATGGTTTAAGCAATTCAGCATGTAGCTATATTTTCTGTTGCTAGATAGTGCTCTAAATGTGCAATGCTACCGGCAATCATTGTGTTTATCATATTCTGAGACAATAATTTAACTTTTACAGTATAAATCTGTTCCTTAATGATTTGAATCTTGGAGAAAGTACTATCAAAGGAAGTCTTGAAGCCTATTCTTGTGAGAGAAATTTATCTATTCTTATTTAAAATATGATGTGCTATTCTCTTCTTGCAATCTGTTAGAGTAGCTTTTATGCACTCAATGAGTTCTTGCTCTCAAATGGAATTTCCAGGCAAGCCAACATCGGTGGACCGAAGGATTTCCGATAATCTGGAGCATGAGGTAATTTTAAATTGTAGATTTGTGACAATAAGAGCTAGAAAACATGGTACATTAACTTCAAGCTACAAGTGACAAATATGAAGAACCTGAAGTTTGAAATGGTTTAATAACGTTCAATCAAATAAGATTCTGCTCTAAAGAAGCTTTTTTCATGTTTGTTACTTATGCTGAGAACTCAAGCTTTATTGATGATAAAATTTTCCTACTGTTCAAAATTTGAAGTATCTCATGATATCCCAGCTATTGAGGGTCTGGTTTATGTATCCTTCGTTACTATTTGTTCCTTCTTAAAGCTTAGTCTGCTGTTAACTGTAGTGTAAGTGTATATCTAAATCTAAATAAAATTCAGCATTTAGATAGCAAAAAAATAGTAAAAGCGATACATAAATACTAGTTATATCAAGTTGACTTCGCCTTTTCTGTCCCAAAAGAGTTATAGTTTTGAGAGATTTGAGAGAAACTGAATTAATTATGCTTCTCCACCCCTGACCCGATCTTTCTATGTTGATGTGGTATATGCGATCTTTTTTTTTTCCCGTGTTTTTGTTGGTTTGTGTGTGTTTTGGGGGCAGGGTGGTTTGGTTGTTGTGCTGAAGAATCAGTTAGTGATTTAATTAATTTGCCCTTAGAGTTAGTTGTCCTTGTGTCTATGACACCATGTATCTTATCTCATGATTCAGGAGTTAATGTGGCATTTTCCTTTTATTCTTTTAGAAGTTAATATGGCAGTTTGATACTTTGATGCTATTGCTTTCATAACTTTATAATTGCAGTCTATATTTTTGAATGGTGGTTAAGTACCATTTTATGCTATTTTCTGCTGAATAAAATATATATTTATCAATTAATTCTCTTTTTTCTCCTTGTAATTTGATTTACTACATAAGTTGGGGCTATTTACTATTATGGCGAGTTATATGTCTTGTTGCCATTGTTGATTTTTGTTCAACTCTTTATTTTTTTATATCTTTATTGCACCTCGTCTCTTGTTGTAGATTCTCGATTATCTAAGCCAATCTGCAGACAGTGATCCCTCCTCTCCTGTGGAATACCTTTCCAGAAGATCAAGGTGGTGATATGCCTTAAATTTTATTGTTCTTGTTATAATATTTGAGCACCTGATTTCTATTATCTTTTCTTTTGTCTCAGCCGTAGAACATTGATTTACCTGGTCCTGACTCTCGGACATATGTATCCTGATTACGACTTCCGGTAAACCTTTGATTTTGTGACATTCAAAGTGGGGGAAAGTTCTTGGGTAATGTCATTGCCAGCTTGTGAAAAGGCAGCATGACAACCCGTCTTTTGTCTTTCCTACCGAACTATGGGAGTGTTGTCAAATGGTTTGACAGACGGTATGCATAACCGTTGCTCAGTGAGCTGAGAGTTCAAGTCTCTCCATTTCCCAGCAGTGTTGTGTGGTTACCTTTATAATATTAACATAGTATTTTATGAATAAATGCTCCTTTTTCTGTCTTTTCTCTTCTACTATCTTCATTACATCTCTCCTTTTCCTTCTAATGAGCTTACCCCCCTTTCCTCCCTCCAGCCCCTCGCTTTCTACTAATGTGACATCGCATTGTTACCCTTTCTTGGCTTAACAGTGCAGTGCAGGCACATTTGTTCTTCACAGAGGAAGAATGGGATAGCTTCAGGCAGATTTTTGACACCTACTTGTTTGAAGCTGCTAAGGTATACTCTCTCTCTCTGGACGTTTTGTTTTTTTTGTGGTAAATTTAAGATGTATGGTGAAATAATTATATTAGAGAGATAATTGCAATAACACCTATTGAAAATAAACATAAGCGAAGAATAGATTTAGATCATTTGGCATACACAACAATGGGGAAAAAAATGCATCAAGAAGGTAGGTGGATGTTAATGTGAAATTGGGAAGAAAAAATTGAAAGTTAAAAGATAAAATGGAGAACTCGCACAAAAATACATGTAGAATAGCTTCATATAGCAGTTAAAATGAATGAGCGGATAAGCAGGATTCTAAAATTACCACCAAATACATAAAGATAGGGCTAAGGATGCTGACGCTAAAGTGGATATATTATGCGAAAGAAGGTTCACCATCTTTCTTTTTGTCTTACTAACTTTGTTCAGATGAAATCAGGGGAGTATCGTTTTGATGAGTCATTTTATATCTTTTCAACGACCTATGTTGTGGTGAAGGGATGTCTACATGATAGATTTCCGGTGTGCAAAAGGCCCTAGAATGATTTCACAACCATTTGTTTGACCGGCAATTAAGAATGATTCTGGCATTGTGTTTGTGGGATTTTGATACCCTTTGTCGGGGTCTTTGTAGCACATGACATCCGGTGGATAAAGCTCATGATGCTTTTATATTATCCTCAACTTTCTCGGGCATTTACTGGCTCTTTTGAAAGAGGGTTCGATCTGCTTCTTTAGGCAAGATTAAAGAAAAAATTAATTTGTAAGCACAGGCCTCAAGTTTGACTAATAGGTCTGCAAACAAATAAGATTTAATCTTATCATTCTACAAATAAAATGTGAAACCTTAGATGGTTTGTGATGGGGACATCGTCAGAGATTGCGACACATGTACCATCAGGAGATGCCGGAGATCGATGGCCACGATCATGACCTTTATTTTCATCATTTTATGTAGTAGTTTATTTGTTTTTTTATGTTATGGGTATTTGGTCGTTATTGTAGCCCGAGGGGCATTTTAGTCTTTTGTTTTCTTGTCATTTTGAGGCCTATTTATATGGCCATTTTCTCATGTAATTTTTTTAGTTTTTGATGAATGAAAATTTGCTCTTTGTTCTCTTTGTGAGTTCATGAAACCTCTAAAGATCTCTTTGTGAGTTCTTGAAGAGGAGACCGTCGGAGATCTCTTTGTGAGTTCTACCGGTGGATTGGTGTTGAGACCGTCGGAGATCTCTTTTTGAGTTCTACCGGTGGATTGGTGTTCAAGGTTTGTCATTTGAAATTTCTTTGTTTTTCTCCCCAATCTCTTCTTCCCCCACTTAGCCGAAATCCCCATCTTTTTTTTTTTTCTTTCAATTCCCCACCACCACCCAAGATCCACCGCCGGCCAGCCTAGCAGCCAATTCCCTCCGCCTCTCCCTCTTGAAGCCTCCCACCATTTCAATTTCAAATCTCTTGAGTTATTAACCTTCTTAATTGGTGCTTATGCAATTAAGCCAACCATTAAAGAGATTAAATCCAAATTCGAAATTCAAATTTGATCTCCCTCTCATTTTAAATCTTGGGAAGTTACTTAAGCTCTAATTAAATCTGAAATTAAAATTCAGATTTAATTGAATTTCTTACTTAAACTTGGGCCCCACCCTCATAACTCCTAAATCTCTCTCTCTCCTCCTTTCCCCGGCGACGAGTCCTCTCTGGATTACTTGTCTATTAGTGGCATCGTTGAGTTTACTTACAATCCTCCTCCGCTAGCCCATATTTTCGAGAGCAATGAAAGGACCTCAAGGTGAATGATCTAAATTTTAAACGTATGGCTTTAGTAGTAGCTATTTGCATTATCTAGTTTATTTTGGTTATATTTTGCAAGACTCTTGTAATTCTTAAATGTAATCACTGACGTTAACATAATCTATCACGAAGTTTCTTGAATCCAACTTGAGTAAGCTAGATTTTATCGTTAACCTTGCAAAGTTAAACTCTCATTAATCTCGAACGCGCAATTCATGTTTCACCGCATGTGGTTTCACATCAGTTTGGTTACATAAAACACCAGGCTTTTCAATAACCAAGTTAGGTGAGTAAATGTATTAAGATTTGATCTATGTTAAAAAAGCTAGAGGTAGACCTATGTTAAGTTGTTGCTGATGTAGTATTCTACAAATCAAAATATTTTGGGCATCCCATCTAATTGATATATTCATGAATATCTTGAAGTTGTCTGGAACAAAATTGATTTGATCCCATTTTTGTGCATTATAGTGTGAGGAGAGACATGCTTAGGTTGGGCCGGGAGCTTTGGGTTAGAGGACAAATCTAGTGGGCAGTAAGGGAAATGTGGGGTCAGATGGAATGCATCAATTTTTGCAAAGACTGCTAGGCATTATATCAAATGGTTTTTTGGATCTTAAGGTTCAGAATTACGTTTTTTATGTCTCCAATTTTATTTATTATTATTTTGTTTTTTGGAATGTTAATGATTTCTTATGTGGGTCAAGCCTTGGAAGGAAATGGTGCTGTTAGGTGGTGTTTGTACCGAGCTGCATAGAATTGAAGGCACGAGGAACTTTAGTTTTGAAAATGCCAATATCCAAACCACTAAATGATTTTTTCCGTGATCTTTTTTTGAGTTGTTCATGCTTTATTTCAGTTTCATTCTTAACAGATCTGCGTGGCTCCGTGCTCAATGCTTAGATTGTTGTTAGTGTCACTATGCACTTGGTTTCCCAGTGGCTGGCAGCAGCTGGGCCTGTGTAACTTTTCTTACATTATGGGAAACTATTTTTTTTTTTCATTAGCCAACTTGTTCATGTTTCTTGGTTTTATCAGATAAATATAGCAGCAAACCTACCAGACATATTATAGAGTGCAAGATTCTTAGGCAGCTGAAAGTTTCTCAATGCTTTCTTAATTGTACTCTTGGACAGATGAAATCATGTTACTTTTACATAATCTAATTTTACATTTTTGCCTGTCCGCGATTTCCGATCTTCCTTTCATGGTGGTTTCTTCACTTGGACTATTTTGCAGGTTTTATTGATTAGATTATTTTATGAACGATTAATAAGTTTATTAAAAATTGATTTGAAGGCAATTTGTTAATTTCTTTTTATCTACTGTATTTTATTTATTTATATTGAATTTCAATCATACAACTTTAAAATGTTCAGAAAATTGTAAATGTAATCTTAGGTGGGAATAAATGAGATATACTATTATTATCAGTTGGACTAGTAAGTTAAATTGGATCGTGGCCTTCAATAATCAAGTTCCCACTTTTAGTACCATGTCAAGACTCCATGGATCCATAAAGACAAGAGTTTAGTGCTGCTATTTGTGACATCTTGTTTTCCTTGTTGCTTAAATTATCAGCGAACTGTGAACTACTCCATATGCTCATGCATTCATTGTTCCAGCAATGAGCATTATCTAGGAGGACACTTGAGATTGTTTCTCAAATTCTGTTGATTTTTTGTCTTAAAATGCCTTCATATACCTAAGTGTGATGGGCCCATGATAGGGAATATGTAATGTAAGGTGTATTTAGTGGGTGTTAGGCTATTATTAGGATTATTAAATTATCGTGGAGTTGATACGCCTTAGGGTTGCACAAATTCGGTTTTGCCCTAATTCCCCTTAAATGAAGAGAATAATTCTTCACAAAAAGCACAATTCCACGTAGAAGTAGATGAGAGGAACAAAACAAGATCAAAAGCAATGAATTCCCACGGTAAAATCACAAGAGTTGAGCACTTTGATGATTTTCGGATTAGGGCACAAACCTTCCAAAAAGATGAGGAAAATCTCTCAAAATTAGGGCACAATCACAATAAAGAGAAGGGAATCCATATAGTATTGAAAGAGAAGCAAGTTCAACACAAAAGAAAGATACAATTTGTCCACTTCGAGAAGGACAAGGTCTCCCACTACAAACCCTAGAAAACTTAGAGAAAAAATAGAAACGGCTAAGAGAAAACCCAAATTCTGCATAACCCTAGAAATCCCCCCTTAATCCCTACTTATAGCAAGCAAAAGACCAAACAAAACCCACTAGTGGGCCGCCCAAGGTGAACCGCCCAGCCTAGAGCAGACACGAGCCAAACCGGTCCAGGATTGGACCGGTTCAGCTCAAGGCCGAACCGCCCAGCCCGCTCCGCCTCGCCCCCTGCTTCCCTTCGGCTGGCCGACTTGCGCTGCTCCCTCCCCCGCCGCTTCCGCTCGCCTGGTGGTCGCCGGCCCTCCCTTTGCTGATAGGAGGCGGAACGCATCAGGAGTCTTACTATTTTGTTGTATGCCATAAATAAGTTCTCTTAGAAGAATTGGTGCTATAAAGTAAAGCACGCAACAAAACAAATAAGAAGAAAAAAGCAGAAATGAACATAAAGAATTAGTGTGGAAAACCCAAAATGGATAAAAATTATGGAGCCACACTATGCGACATCAAGAAATTCACTAGAAAAGTTAGGAGTTGTTCACATCTTTCTTTTCACACTCTTCTTGTCTCTCTTCATTTCTCTCTTCGTTCTCTACTCAGAACAGACAATGAAATGCTTTTCAATACACTAAAGGACACAACCCTTCAAGTGAAATAAAAAAAGGAAGAAAAAACTACTTAGCCCGACACGCAATGCCGCGATGTTGAGATTTGTAGTGTCGCGACGCTCCATTCTTTGTCTCTAAGTATGCCATGGAGCGTTGCAGCGTTGGAGTTTGGACCGCCGTAGTGCTCTGCTCTCTGTCTCCTGTCAAGACTAGAGCGATGCAGCCATGGTTTTGAAAATCAGATCAGACTGGCCAGTTCGATCGGTTCAACCGTGAATCGGTCATATGGCCGACTTGGTCCTCATGAAAGATAGGCCCAACATCAAACCGGCTAGAACCGATTTGAACCGAACCAGTGAGAATTAGTTTGAGCCACCAGTTCAAACATCCAACCATTGAACCGATCCCGGTTCATTTCATAACCTATTTAAATAATTTAATTTAATATAAAATATTTAATTAAATGC